ATGTCGTCCAGACATTTTAACATGGGGTGAATGGAGCAAACACTTGCTGTTTTCACAGGCAGGTAGATCTGGCAGTCATCAGCATAACAATGGAATGAAAGACCGTGTTTCCTCAGGATGGACCCCAGTGGGAGCAGCACCTGTGATCCCAACCCACTGTTCCAGCCGTGATATAAGGGTACTGTGGTCAACAGTATCAAAAGCAGCAGTAAGGTCCAGGAGCACAAGTACCACAAATTGACCAGAATCATTTGATATCATAATATCGTTACAAACCCTCACTAATGCTGTTTCAGTGCTGTGGAGTTGCTTAAAACCAGATTGAAAAATCTTGAAGATTCTGTTCTCATTCAAAAACTTGTTTAATTGAATGAAAACTATTTTCTCCAGGATTTTGGACAGGAAGGGAAGTTTTGAGATTGGTCTGAAATTTGAGCAAGTCGAAGGGTCAAGTCCAGGTTTCTTAATTAACGGATGAACTACTGCATGTTTGAAAACATCGGGAACCACACTTGTCACAATACTACTATTTATAATAGTAAGAACAGAGGGTCCAATCGTGGGTAGAACTTGTTTGAAAAACGACGCAGGAATGGGGTCAGCGGGGGAACTGGAGTGTTTCATCTGACCAACAACTTTGTTTAGAAATGGGAGTGAAATGGGTTCAGACTGTATGAAGACAGCTTAAAGATCTATTTAAAATTGAACATGTCACAAAAAATATTTGCAATTTAACCATGTATTTAGTTGAATCTATAATAGTATAAAAGAGAAACACAGTTCGACACTAACAATAGAGACTTGGCATCAACAAGGTGATTCTCAAACATTAATAGCTGAAAAATGTATACATATGGACACATGATCAACAGAAAGATGATGCTCTTTGCTTGATTTTTTTCTTATACCTTTAAATCATTACTTTCAGATTCTGTTAATCTGTTGTAGATTTTTTTATGGTTTGAGTCTTTTATTCTCTTCTTGACAACATTCCTCATTTTAATGACAAACTGCACAATATGTTGTCATGATACTGAACAGAAAGAACTGGTAAATGACTCAAAGCAGTCAAAGTAAAAAAAAATGTTTTAAAGACTTTCAGAAAATCTGGGCAACTAACAAAATACTAATTGCAAACTGTAGATCTAATAAAAAGGTTTACACTTTATTAAATGTTGCAGTTTGAAAGAGTTTAGAAAGAAGAAACAAAGAAAGTGCTATGTGTTGTCATCATTGTATGATGAAATTGGTTCTCTGCATTTAACCCATCACATCTGGGATACATCTAAGTGGAGCAGTGGGCAGCTATATAAGCACCCTTGGAGCAATTGGGGATTAGATGTCTTGCTCAAGGGCACAACGACATGTGGGAATGGCAGGGAGTCGAGACACAACTTTCTGGTCCCAGCTCGGCTGCTCTACCTCTACCCCATCTCGGCCCCCCTACTCCAGTCGTTTACTTGATACATTGAATGCAATTCTAAAATACGAGTACACAGTGTAAACAAAGTACTCAGCTGGGTTAGCTGAAAACCAGGGCTGTGCACAGTTCGGCTAATCCGCTAACAGCTACTAGCGGAACAATTTTTTTCATTTAGCTGATTAGAATTTTCGCTAACTTTGGAAATCATTAGCAAATTAGCTTCCACTAAATTCAGTTTTGCCAACTTTAAGAGCACTAACATAATCCACAAGCTTGCTCCTGTCTGTTGTGGGCGTGTCTCGAAGAGTCTGTTAGGCACGCTATTGGTTTACTACGTGACAATTCAACTCAGTTTTTTTACAGTGCCTTGCGAAAGTATTCGGCCCCCTTGAACTTTTCAACCTTTTGCCACATTTCAGGCTTCAAACATAAAGTTATAAAATTTAAATTTTTTGTGAAGAACCAACAACAAGTTTTGCACATGGAGAGACTGAAATTCTTGCCCATTATTTTTGCAAAACAGCTGGAGCTCCGTGAGGTTGGATGGAGAGCGTTTGTGAACAGCAGTCTTTAGCTCTTTCCACAGATTCTCGACTGAATTCAGGTCTGGACTTTGACTTGGCCATTCCAACACCTGGATACGTTTATTTGTGAACCATTCCATTGTAGATTTGTCTTTATGTTTTGGATCATTGTCTTGTTGGAAGATAAATCTCTGGCCCGGTCTCAGGTCTCTTGCAGACTCAAACAGGTTTTCTTCCAGAATGGTCCTGTATTTGGCCCCATCCATCTTCCCATCAATTCTGACCATCTTCCCTGTCCCTGCTGACGAAAAGCAGGCCCAAACCATGATGCTGCCACCACCATGTTTGACAGTGGGGATGGTGTGTTCAGGGTGATGAGCTGTGTTGCTTTTACGCCAAACATATATATTTTTTTTCATTTAGCCTTTATTTATCCAGGTTAGTCTCATTGAGCCACGAGAACTCATTTTCAAGAGAGACCTGTTTAGGGAGCACATGGTGGGGGTTAAGGGCCTTGCTCATGGGCCCAGAGTGGGGCGAATGAGGGTGGGGGCAAGTGTGGGTAATATCGTTTTGCATTGTGGCCAAACAGTTGGATTTTGGTTTCATGTGACCAGAGCACCTTCTTCCACATGTTTGGTGTCTCCCAGGTGCTTGTGTCAAACTTTAAACAACACTTTTTATGGATATCTTTGAGAAATGGCTTTCTTCTTGCCACTCTTCCATAAAGGCCAGATTTGTGCAGTGTATGACTGATTGTTGTCCTATGGACAGACTCTCCCACCTCAGCTGTAGATCTCTGTAGATCATCCAGAGTGATCATGGGCCTCTTGGCTGCATCTCTGATCAGTCTTCTCCTTGTTCCAGATGAAAGTTTAGAGGGACGGCCGGGTCTTGGTAGATTTGCAGTGGTCTGATACTCCTTCCATTTCAATATGATTGCTTGCACAGTGCTCCTTGGGATGTTTAAAGCTTGGGAAATCTTTTTGTATCCAAATCCGGCTTTAAACTTCTCCACAACAGTATCTCGGACCTGCCTGGTGTGTTCCTTGGTCTTCATGATGCTCTCTGCACTTTGAACAGAACCCTGAGACTATCACAGAGCAGGTGCATTTATACGAAGACTTGATTACACACAGGTGGACTCTATTTATCATCATCAGTCATTTGGGACAACATTGAATCATTCATAGATCCTCACTGAACTTCTGGAGTGAGTTTGTTGCACTGAAAGTAAAGGGGCCCAATAATATTGCACGCCCCACTTTTCAGTTTTTTATTTGTTAAAAAAGTTTGACACATCCAATAAATTTCATTCCACTTCACGATTGTGTCCCACTTGTTGTTGATTCTTCACAAAAAATAACAATTTTATATCTTTATGTTTGAAGCCTGAAATGTGGCAAAAGGTTGAAAAGATCAAGAGGGCCGAATACTTTCGCAAGGCACTGTATCTAGCACCAAGTCAACAGAAGTTGTCTCAGGGCACTGAACAGGAACATTCATATATATATAAATTCAATTAGAGTAGTGTAGCCAGCAGATTGCGTTGAGTCTTCATTTTGTCGCAGTCCCCCATCTTGAGCAAGCACAAAGGCAACAGAGGAAAGGAAAAACTCCCTCATAACAGGAAGAAACCTCCAGCAGAACCAGGCTCAGGACGAGCAGCCATCTGCTTTGACCGACGGTTTAAGAGGACAGGAAGGAAAAACGGACACAGAATGGCAGGTCCAGAATGGAGGCGAGCAGTAAAGCAAGATGATGGATCGACGCAGCTTCAACTGGAAGGAGACAAGGACGTGTGACGCAGACTGCATGATAGTCGTCTTAGCCCTTAGCAGTTTAGCAATTACCATAGTGGTTTAGCCTTAACTTCCACTATTTTTTTAACCTGTTTAACATTAGCTATTTTTTTGTTAGACGAATATGGGCTAGCGAAGCTAACTTTTTGGTTTGCTGTGCCCACCACTGCTAAAAATTAACCTACCGGTATATAGATCACTTAATACATTTGAGCCTAAATGTGCTTATTACGTGCATATTTAGGCTATCTGTATTCACACATCGGCAAATTTCACTATCTCAAATGATGAACGTTGCCATTGTTGATTTATTTTCAGTTACTTTGACTCTTCCCGTGGGTAAACAATTTTTTCTTGTTTAATTAATCATCAATAACAAATAAGCAAATTTTGTTTCATAAATTATATTTTTAATAGGTCTTTGTGGAATTGAAATGAGTACCTTTAATTAAGGCTACTTTAAACCATTGAAGAAAGTATTTTCTGTATCAATAAGATGTCCCCTTGACCCACTTGCAGGTGGTGGGAGACAGAAGAACACTGGGCCCTTGAGTAAAGGCCCTTAACCCCCACCATCTACCCCCAAACAGATCTCTCTTGAAAATGAGTCATCATGACTCATTGAGACTATCTGTATAAATAAAGGTTAAATAAAATAAAATGGCAAAAATAACATCAAAGTTGGACAATGTCTCCCACTCCATTCATGAAGCTGTGACAGGACTGGAGAGCTCCTTCAGGCAGTCTGCTGCATCATAGGTGCACAAAGGCCCTTCCTCCCAGCAGCTGTTAGACTTTATAACAATCACAGATCACAACAAACTTAAGAGTTTACATCCCTGCTGTCACCTGCACAGTTTTTCCATTTCTTGGACATACTGCAGACAAATTGAATTGAACATAGTGTTTTCTTTTGCATGCAAAAAAAAAACATGCACATGTTGTACATTCGTTACATTATAATATTCAGTTCACATTTCTTGAATCAAGATATGCTATTTTTAATAACTGCACAGTATTGTTCTTATTTCCTTACTGTAGTCTCATTATTTTCTGATTTTATATTTTCTACCTTTGTGTGAATCTGCAGAGTTTGATTTATCTTCCCCACGGAAGGACAATAAAGTTTAGTTAAATTTTCTATTCTACTCCTCGAAAATTAGTTTTTAGACAACTACTAGAAATCGACACGTGCTCCGGTTTACGCATGCGCAGCAGGAAGTGACGTATCAAGCTCTTCCAGTTAGGGCAGCGTCCTTTTGTTAAATCACACTGGTTAGTGCAGCTGGTGGTCCCGCATCATGTTCAGAGCAGCCGTCAGACTCTCGGTCTCCGGTGTACGGAGTCTTACTCGTACGCAGCCGAGGTGCCAAGGTACTCACTCACTCCGCCAACCATATTTGAGTGTTTATATGTCCGTGTGGTAGCTCGTGAAACTGTGGGGGTGAAGTTCATGCGGAAATCCTGAATGAGTGCGTCCGCACATTGCGGTTCCTACACACGGCTAATGCTAGCCAGCCCGTGAAGTCTAACTCCTTAATAAACGCTGAATACTTGAACTGGAAAAGCTGCAGTCATTCTGTGTGGATTGTACTCAGATCTCGCCATTTCTCACCAAACCTGTAGTGCTTTCTGTCATGAGAACACCCCGGCGTCCTGCTCGTAGGTGGTTGTGTCCTTGCCATGACCCAGATGCAGCATGCTAACATGCTAACTGCTCCGTTCAGTCAACCAGCTGCGACTGTTTTAACAGCGAGCCTGGACATGGCTGTGCTTTTGGTACTTTACAAACTGATGATGAAAAAAAAAATTTTATTCACTGTAAGACAGCGTAATAAAGCGCGTGCGAGTTTACTAGTACGTTTGGTGCACAGCTGTCTATCAACAGACTACGTGCCGTGTCATATTGGAACAATGGAAGTGATCCACCTGACCTACAAACATTTGTGCTTTTCTACTTCACTCAGTACAGACAGGTTGATCCCTTGGTGTTCATCAATACACTGCTTTAAATACTGTAGGTGCTTGATGTTGTGGGGTAGTTTGGTAAAAAGTTGTTTTTATTTGCATTGTTCAGCTGTTGTGGCGTCGAGGTGCTACTCACAGGGGAAGCAGGAGACAGATGAGGAGTTTGATGTCCGCTGGATTGCATACTTCAACAAGCCGGACATTGATGCATGGGAGCTGAGAAAAGGTAGGTTTGTTTTTGATAGCAGTGATCCTGTTTAATCTATCAAGCCTAACAGTAGTAAAATTAAAGTTCCACCTCATGTCTACAGAGCTTTGTCAGCTATTAGACTTGATCTGACATTCAACCTGTATATAGGTTAGTCTCGTGGAGCCACGAGGACTCCTTTACAATAGAAACCTGTTTTAAACAAAAAAACATAAACGAAGTGCACACAACAATAAACATTGATATGAAAGCATATAAATGAAAAGTAAATAAGTGATATAAAATGAAATAAAGACGAGCTGTATTTTAAAAACGTGTAAAACACTAAAAGCAGGAACATGTCTGAACTGGTTTTTGCACTGAACTTAACAATTTAAAATCCCTCGGAGAGGTCAAGGTGGAGAGCTTCAGATCTTTTTGCAAGGTGTTCCAGGAAACGGGAGCGGAGTAAGCCTTTTGCCAAATTTGGTCCTCACTGAGGGAACACTGCAGGTACTGATGTCTTGGGAGCGCACGCTGTAGCTGCACTGACTACGTGACATGTAGGAGGAGATGTATGAAGGCAACAGACCAGGAAGTCATTTAAAGATGAAAATGTACCAGTGAGAGAGTCTGCGTGAAGTTAATGATGACCAGTTAACCAGTGAATGCAAAGTGCAGTGGTGAGTATGGTAATTACAGCCAGTTATGAATCTTAGTGCACCATATTAGACAGCATCCAAGGAGATTGCAAGCATGAAAAGTTAATCCATCTTATTCTGCTTATCCGGGGTCGGGTCGCAGGGTTAGCAGCTTAAGTAGGGAGGCCCAGACTTCCCTCTCCCCATCCATTTGGTCCAGCTCCTCCGGGGGAATCCCGAGGCGTTCCCAGGCCAGCCAAGAAACATAGTCCCTCCAGCGTGTCCTAGGTCTTCCTCTGGGTCTCCTCCCGGTGGGACGTGTCTGGAACACCTCACCAGGGAGGCGTCCAGGAGGCATCCTAACCAGATGCCCGAGCCACCTCACCTGGCTCCTCTCGACGTGGAGAAGCAGTGGCTCTACTCTGAGTCCCTCCCGGATGATCGAGCTTCTCACCCTATCTCTAAGGGAGAGCCCAGACACCCTGCGGAGAAAACTCACTCATTAACTGAAAAGTTGATCATCGAGGGCTAATTTATGCTATGATTTCACACTGATTTGAAGAAGTTGTGTATCAGTGCTCGGTGCAGTGAAATGTTTCACTGCTTCACCTGCGCTCGTAACCAGGCTAAGCCTGGATTAAGGACATGGCCATCAAGGTGCAGGTACAGGTATTCCTGGACCTCTGTGGCACACATCTTTATTTTAATGTGTACACAAACAATATAGTATAAGTAAGATGCAGCATGTTTAGCCCTCAGAAGGTCTTCACATGTTTGTCAACAATCATGAACCTTACTGACAAAGCTTAAAATATCAAATATATATAGCTCATAATGGCCTTTTCCTGCTGGTTTGATCGAAAACAGGATGTCTGTAGTAGATGCACCATGATGCGTCAGCCTGGTGGTATGAAGGTTTTACTTCATATGAACATGGTTTGAAACAGCACGCAGTAATAACTCGAGTATTAGCGGAGTTCACAGAGAAAGACATGATGTCCATTAATACAATGACCAAGCCTGGGTTTATTTATGGCTTTGGTGAACACGATGGATAAGCGGTACAGAATGCCCGTACACACACATTTTAACCAAGTTGCTATCCAGGAGCTATACAAAAAAAATATGCAGAAACAAGAGTTGAAGAGCTGAAAACAGTGGAGTTATTTTTACAACTGAAACAGATTTATTGCTTGTTCGTTGAAAAATGCATGAGAAGACGTTGAAAAATAATCACATATTAAATCGTAATATTGAGGTTAAAAAAAATCACAATTAGAATATTTTCCAAAATCGTTTAGCCCTACTAAGAAATAAGTTCATTTTAATGTCCCTCTTATTTATTTTCAAATTTGACATAATTTATCTTTGCAGATTATTTTAGTTTTTTCCAACTAAAATCCCTTAATGATTAAAAATAAAAGTGATTTTAAATTTGATGTTTTACTGGCTGCAGTAATAATAAAAAAAAGATTGGCTAGTTCATTCAAGCAAAAATATTTAAAAATAGTAATTTTAGTTTAAGTGGGGTGGTTGATTTTATTTATTTGTCTTGAGTCTTTTCTTCTGTAAGGAACACTTTGTCATAAAGTTAAAGGACCTTCTGAGGGTTAAAGCGTTTGTGTTCATCTGCATTATGGTTGATTAGTAATTTAAGGGTGCAAGACAATAAGATCCACCCTTAAACTGGTTTAATCATAAACACTTAAATCACATGTGAAGCAATCAAGTGTGCACACTGATAGCTGTTGAGTTTCTGGGGAAATGAACACGTTTTTATTACAACTTTGGTGATTGTGGTTTAAAGTTCTACTCTCCATGTCCTACAGCTGCATAGTCAATTATCTGAACATTGATTTTTGCTGAAGGATGAAAAATCACCCATTTTAATAAAAGGAAATAAATTGTGTATAACTTTTTTGCTTAACGAGATTAAAATTGTGAGCAAGATACTCAAAAGATTTAATCCCTAAAACGTTAGAAATGCCTTGATTAAACTCTTTGACGAGGACTAGCTGGTCATAAATTTGGTCATACATTTGAACTTTAAAGGCAGTGGGAGAAAATTGTCCATTAATTATTATTATTATTATCCTTTTATAAGTAGAAGTATGTTTTTATATTTTCTTCATGTTCAAGCTATAACGTACTTAGCGATTCAATACTAATAATGCAGTAGAAGTGCATCTTTTTGGAGTTGATCCTGAAAATAACAAGTGTACAAACTGTCAAATAGTTGTCCTAATTGGAAACGAACCTTGAGAAGAAATGGCTGCAGCTGCCAAGATGCCAGTTACGTTCACTGCGTTGACTTTTGAAGCGACCAGTGAGTCACATGATTGGTGCCAAGCAGAACCAAGTTGTTTCTGTTTTCTCCTAAACGTTAAATGTTCTCAACAACTCTGTGTGCTTGAGGCAACATGTTTGTTTTCTCTGCAGCAGATTTGTTTTTGTTTATTTGTTGAAAACCAGTTAATTTGCAAATGCAGCTGCATGTGATTGTTTTATACATACATGTCCTTTGTGGAACAGAGTTATTAACAGTTTACCTCCTCCTTACTGAGGAAGTCTTTCGGATGAGAGACGAAACGTTTCTACTTTTTTTTGTTGTTTTGCTTTGTTTTGTTTTTTGAAGGTCCAGAGGACCAGATTTAACTTTTGTAGATTTTTCTACCTGGGTTATTGAGCATGCATCAGGATAGTTTACCTCCTCCTTTTTGTGCCACTATAACACCATAAATCATGTTTTGTTTTTCTCCTGAGCTTTAACAAGTTTTTGCACTAGATCTGTTTCATTAAACTAAAAGCTGTGATGGTTTTCATAGATTATTTATATCCATAACTTTAATATTTTTGGTCAGTTCTCTTCCCCCTGTTTGCTGAAGAGCAGCACTGACTTCATTCATCTGTAGACAGTTTGTTGGTCTGGTTTCATTGCACTATGATGCATTTATAACTGGCTTATTTTTACCCCCTATTATTCACCTTTTAATCAATGCTCATGGATTAAAAAACTTGACCAAATACACTGCTGGGAGATGTGCTGCCTCTTTGTTTTTATTTACACATAACTGATGCAGCAAAAGTCATGAGACTTTTAAAAAGTGATGAGAAACCTCAGGAAATGGTTCATATTCATAGTTTAGTCTAAAGCAAAAAGCTATTTTGAGAATCTGCTGCAAAAGTGGTTAGTTTTCAATTTTAATGGAAAATGATTCATGTGTACAGCGACACAATCGAATATACAGATTCATATTTTGTAACTTCTTGATTTTCTCACTTTTGGCAGGCAGCAACTTGTATAATAGTTTTAAAACAAACCAACAAAAATAGCATTTATTTAAGGCTGATTTGTTTTAAGGCTGATTTCACCAGTACCAGCAGTCCTTCCTTCTATCTTCTCTTTGAATGGTGCTCTTATTGAGTTTGTTGATTCCTATAAATATTTGGGCATCTTGGTCGACTCTCATCTCTCTTTTAAGCCGCATGTCGAAAACTTGGTAAAGAAACTGAAAGTTAAACTGGTTTCTTTTTCAGAAACAGATCCTGTCTAACTCTGAACTCTAGGAAACACCTTGTATCTGTGACTTTCCTTCCCTCCATTGATTATGGTGACATTATTTACATGAACGCTCCTACAAGAACCCTGCAGATGTTGGATGCTGTCTATCATGGTGCACTAAGATTCATAACTGGCTGTGATTATCGTACCCACCACTGCGCCCAGTATTCACTGGTTAACTGGTCATCATTAACTTCACACAGACTCTCACTGGTACATTTTCATCTTTAAATCACTTCTTGGTCTGCTGCCTTCATACACCTCCTCCTACATGTCTCTGTGTGAGTGCAGCTACAGCGTGCGCTCTCAGGACATTATTACCTGCAGTGTTCCCTCAGTGAGGACTGAACTAGGCAAGAGGACCTTCTCCTACTCCGCTCCCGTTTCCTGGAATATCTTGCAAATATAGATCTGAAGCTCTCGACCTTGACCTCTAAGTGGCTTCAAACATCTGTTAAGTTCATGGCAAAAACCAATGCAGACTTGTTCCTGTTTTTAGTCTTTTGTATCTCTTTATGAAGTAGCTGTTTTTGTTTTGTTTTACTATCATTTCTTCTGTTACTTTTCATTTATATGCTTTTTAAATGATCTATTGTTGTCTTGTCTGTACCTCATCTGTTTGTTTAAAACAGGTCTCTCTTGTAAATAAGTCCTCGTAGTTCAATGAGACTAACCTGTTGTAAAAAGGTTGAATTTAAAAAATAAATAAAAAATAAAAAGGCATGATTTGTTAGCAGTCCAAGTATGTGTTGGGGATGACTCTCAGATACTGCCAAACTAAATTTGAGCTCAGTATCTGTAATATTGAACAATTTATAGCCATTTTTGTTTACTACAATGACACGAACAGTAAGTTGGCTCCGCCCACGCGGAACTGTAACCCAGGGTGAGCTCTAACGAACAAAGATGGATGTAATGGTGGAGGAAGTGAAGCTCACAATGTGACCTGAGGCATTTAGTGAGGCATTGCTGCCTTATCAGCAAACATTAAGGCAAAGAAGACGGGCAAAAAATTACTTTCAAAGATACTAATAACTTCAAAAAGTTACTGCAGTAGAAGTTTTCATGCCACAGCAACACAGGGCAAGAACTCGCAGTGAAATTCAGTATGTGAGAAGAGTAAATTTTATATTACACAACCTATTAAACACTTTGTACAAAATCAGTTTGGTGTTAACTGATCATAACAAAGACTAAACTGATGCAACCAGAAGCTACAACATATATCTACATTTAAAACACACAACACACAGCACAACTAGCTTTAAGCATTAACCTTTAATTTAACCATTAAGCATACGATGTAATTCTGACATAAACTGGAGGATTCACCTTCAGATGGACATGTGGCACTTCCTGTGTTCAGCTGATCATGACGTCGACCGCCGGCCTTTATCATCTTTTACATTTGTCCAGACTGCAGCCAGTGATATTTAGATTTGAATCAAAAAGTTATTGTAGGGTTTTATAGCATCTTGTTGTAGCTTTAGTTTACATTATTCTTGTTAATGATTAAACTGATGTATATTTTCATCTCGTGATAAACCAACATTTTAGTGTTTTGGTTACGTTAGTTTATGCAGAATCAGTGAAATATAGTTGAAACAAAGTGAAAAGTTTTCTGTATAAACAGAACATTTTACTTAATTTTAATTATTCCTTAATCAAGATGTGTCCCACAGGGGAAACAAAATCCTGGTTCTTGAAATGTTTGGATCTGTTTTTAGCTCCGGGGCTTTTGTTTGTGGGGTTTAAATAATTCTTTAGACGAGCGTGGTAATTTATTTGTATGCATTTCTGTCTTTGCTCTGTGATAAAACGGCCTGAACCGTATGTTTCAGGGATGAACTCATTGATCGGGTACGATCTGGTACCTGATCCAATGATCCTGGAAGCTGTCCTGAAAGCCTGTCGGAGACTGAACGACCATGCCAGCGCTGTCCGAATTCTGGAGGCTGTCAAGGTGAGTGGGAAGGAATTCAAAGAAATGCTGTCAGCCATCTTTGTTACAACTTCTTTGTGATTTACTCTCATTGTTTTTTAATTGTTTTTTTTCTCGTTCGTTTGCCCAGGACAAAGCTGGACCTCATAAAGATATCTACCCATACGTGATCCAGGAGCTGCGGCCGACATTAAACGAGCTCGGTATTTCTACACCCGAAGAGCTCGGCATTGATAAAGTATAAACAAGTAAGTGCTAAAATTATCACAATGAGCTGCACTTCTCTCTTTTTAATTTTTTTTATTTTTAGGTAAAGACTAACGGAGCTGCTGTTTGTTTTTTAATATCTACAGGAAAAGGACATAACTGGGATGCAGCGCTCTTGTATTTAAACTTTTGCCTCAAGTGCGTGATATTTAATTTGGCCTTTATTATGTTCTTTTACATGTAACATATGGATGAATATAATAAAAATAACTGTCTTTGCGTGTCCAAACTATATTTGGAATGTTTTCTTGACATATCAAGGACTTATGAAAGCAATGCTTAAGTTCTAGTTGCTGAAATGAGGGCAACGTGTCCCAAATGACACGTTGTGTTTAATGCTGTGATCATTTCACCACCAGGGGGCAGCAGTGTCACAAATGTCAAATATTTTTCATTGTCTGTTAAATCTGTTTTCATTTCAGGGATAATTTGCTTGCAGGTGCAATAAACTGAATTTAAATGACATTTGGACTTATGTTATCATGCATCTGTAGTTAGAGTATGGTATCAGAACATTATTTGGACGTATCAAAGTCTTCTGTTTTGTCTGTTTTTATTTTTTCTTGTTTTTTTTTCCACTGGCCATATCATACTTAAATACCCAATTGTGTATGTACATATAATCTCAAAATCAAGAAGGAATAAGAGAACCTTGGGGAAAAAAAACAAGAGCACAAAGAGGAAGTGGAGAAGTTGTGGAGAGTCCAGGCCTCTGGTTCTGGTGGTCTTGGGAGCCCTCGTTGCTGTGACCCCCAGACTGGAAGACTGGCTCCAACAGATCCCAGGAACAACCCCCGAGACCTGTCCAGAACCCTGAAGTCGGTAACTCTGCCAGAGCACTTGAGCTTGAAGTGTGCTCACCCACAGGAAACGGGTGAGAGAAGAATGCAGCATATTTTTTATAATTTATACCATTCAGGACTTCAGAAATTAAAAGGATGAGAAAGGTAGTTCACTTTATTGAGAACTTGATCTTCAGAATCTTAATTGTTTAAAGATGTGTCCCTGTGATGAACTGGTGACCTGTCCTCACTAAATAAAGGCTGCTGGACTTTGGCACGAACTCCCGGTGACCCAGAGGAGAAGCAGGTAAACCGAAGTGCATTTTGACCAGTTTAACAAAATGGTGTATAAAACATTTTAAACAAATCTATTTTTCAAAATGAAAATACTGAAATGTCCTTTCACAGAACAAGCACTAAGATCATTGTGTAACATTGTGGTTTTAACTGTGTTCCCACCCCCCATAAATACCTTTTTAGTACAAGAAAATTATTATTTTTTAATATATATATCAATGTTCAGTTTTGTAATAAATAAAAAAAGGGGGGGGGGGGTAAAATGTTTCTGCAGTTTCCTCAAAAACATTAATGCCAATAATCGAACCGCAACAGGAGCATCCTGCAGAGCTTCTTCCCTTCTCGCTCCTGAGATCCAAAGTTGTCCAAATTTTGTGTCCGTCGTTTCAAGTCCTTGAATGCTCCGTACGGCTGCTGGGCTGAGAGTTGTTTGCATCCTGTAATCGATCGGCTCATGCCGGCTTCTGCCTTTGGACTTTATAAAGATCAGTGGGAGGAACCAGAACCGCTCGTTGCCAACCAGCACTGGTATCACATGGTGCTTCTTCCCAGAAGACGCTCCAGATGTTCGCCAGTCAGTCTGCAGAGAACTCATTAGTTTGTGTTGACTACTTGATATTTCTCCTGTTTGTTTATTTAAATCTCAAATACTTTGAGAATGAAAACCATAATGTTGCTGAATACCAAATCAGCAGCAAAGAACACGTGCATTCAGATGATGGTGCCAGTTTTTGTTGTAACAGTCTAGTCTCTCATGGTGTGATCACTTGGAACAGCATAAAATATGTGAACCAAAACATTTACACTTCTAGGATAAATTGAATTCCTCTAAAGGTCAATGTGTGGAAAACAAATTTTGCCAATTAAAAAAAAAAACATTGCCATAATTATCATTTTAAAGTCCTATGACTTTAATAAAAAGTTTTAGTGCTGTATAAAGTTATACATATGAGATGTAAAGCCATACTGGAGTTCACAAAGTCATTAACTTACAATCACACTGCCCAGTCTCACAATAATGACTTTAAATCTCAAAGTTACAACATGGTTACAGTGTGTTGTGTGTTTAGGTGGCATAAATGGGCTTTTATATAAAAAATCACATTTTAAAAAATTATCAACCTTTAATAAAAAATTGACATTCTGATAAACCCAAAAGTTGAAGCTGGAAGAGCAACAACGTCCCCAGTGGGTCCACTTCTGTGTGCAGGGGGGTACACGGGACTGAAAGCCCAACACGGGTGGTCTGCAGACCGTGGTCACAAAAGTGGCAACTCCTAAATCTGGTCCCATCAACACGAGCAGGTGGACATGCATGACTAGCATACTTACAGGTCCTTCTCAAAAAATTAGCATATTGTGATAAAGGTCATTATTTTCCATAATGTAATGATAAAAATGAAACTTTCATATATTTCAGATTCATTGCACACCAACTGAAATATTTCAGGTCTTTAATTGTTTTAATACTGATGATTATGGCATACAGCTCATGAAAACCCAAAATGCCTGTCCCAAAAAATTAGCATGTCATGAAAAGTTTCTCTAAACAAGCTATTAACCTAACCATCTGAATCAACGACGTAACTCTAAACACCTGCAAAAGATTCCTGAGGCTTTTAAAAACTCCCAGCCTTGTTCATTACTCAAAACCGCAATCATGGGTAAGACTGCCGACCTGACTGCTGTCCAGAAGGCCATCATTGACACCCTCAAGCAAGAGGGTAAGACACAGAAAGAAATTGCTGAATGAATAGGCTGTTCCCAGAGTGCTGTATCAAGGCACCTCAGTGGGAAGTCTGTGGGAAGGGAAAAGTGTGGCAGAAAACGCTGCACAACGAGAAGAGGTGACCGGACCCTGAGGAGGATTGTGGAGAAGGGCCGATTCCAGACCTTGGGGGACCTGCAGAAGCAGTGGACTGAGTCTGGAGTAGAAACATCCAGAGCCACCGTGCACAGGCGTGTGCAGGAAATGGGCTACAGGTGCCGCACTCCCCAGGTCAAGCCACTTTTGAACCAGAAGCACCTGACCTGGGCTACAGAGAAGCAGCACTGGACTGTTGCTCAGTGGTCCAAAGTACTTTTTTCGGATGAAATTAAATTTTGCACGTCATTCAGAAATGAAGGTGCCAGAGTCTGGAGGAAGACTGGGGAGAAGGAAATGCCAGAAGTCCAGTGTGAAGCACCCACAGTCAGTGATGGTCTGGGGTGCCATGTCATCTGCTGGTGTTGGTCCACTGTGTTTTATCAAGGGCAGGGTCAATGCAGCTAGCTACCAGGAGATTTTGGAGCACTTCATGCTTCCATCTGCTGAAAAGCTTTATGGAGATGAAGATTTCATTTTTCAGCACGACCTGGCACCTGCTCACAGTGCCAAAACCACTGGTAAATGGTTTACTGACCATGGTATTACTGTGCTCAATTGGCCTGCCAACTCTCCTGACCTGAACCCCATAGAGAACCTGTGGGATATTGTGAAGAGGAAGTTGAGAGACACAAGACCCAACACTCTGGATGAGCTTAAGGCCGCTATCGAAGCATCCTGGATCTCCATAACACCTCAGCAGTGCCACAGGCTGATTGCCTCCATGCCACGCCGCATTGAAGCAGTCATTCATGCAAAAGGATTCCCGACCAAGTATTGAGTGCATAACTGAACATGATTATTTGAAGGTTGGCGTTTTTTGTATTAAAAACACTTGTCTTTCATTGGTGGGATGAAATATGCTCATTTTTTGGGACAGGCATTTTGGGTTTTCATGAGCTGTATGCCATAATCATCAGTATTAAAACAATTAAAGACCTGAAATATTTCAGTTGGTGTGCAATGAATCTGAAATATATGAAAGTTTCATTTTTATCATTACATTATGGAAAATAATGACCTTTATCACAATATGCTAATTTTTTTTAGAAGGACCTGTATTTTGTTTTCTTTTGGCTTTGAAGACATGGCAGTTATTTTTACACCAGATGTCCTCCCTGACACAACCACAGACCACTGAGCTACCACAGCCTCTGTGTGGAGCAGAGCTGCTGTCAAGGGTGCCCGGGGGAGCAGATGGTGGCGAAGCATGCAAAGCAATTATAAATCCTATTTTTGTTTTACAAAAAAGAGCTGTAAGAATTATTACCAGGAAGCATTTCAGTCACCCATCAAGCACATTATTTTATCAACTGAAATTATTGAAGTTCCATGATTTGGTAGATTATAATGTTTTATCAGTTGTGTATAGGGCTCATAATAATACATTACCTTTAAATATCCAATTAAATTTTGTTAAAAGAGAGAGTTGTTATAATCTTAAAGGGATGGAAATCTTTATGAAACCTAAATTTAGAACTAGCTTAAAGAGACGTTTTACTTCAATCCAAGGTATTAGATTATGGAATAATCTGGAGAGTGATGTTTAAAAATGCCGGATTAATGTGCATGTTTAAGAAAATGTTCAAAGTTGATTTGTGAAAATAAATGAAATAGCTTAATGTGTATTTGTATGAATTTTTGCTCGAGAAGGAGTAATTTATTTTATTTTTGTTATTTGAAGATTTTTATTGTTTGAATTTTTTGTTTTTGGTAAAAAGGGGCAGATATAAGATTTAATTTTTCTTCTTTCTGCTGCCTTTGATTTTATTTATGATTGTATTTCTTATTGTATATAGAATTGTTTTGTTTTAAAAAATGAATAAACTTTATAATAATAACAACAATAATAATAAATAATATTCATAAAACTCATTATTATGACCTACCATGGGGTGATTTTATTTTCCCTTTGTTTTTGTTGTTCAAGTGACAAAAATCTGCTTTCATAGTCATCTTAATAAAAGTAAATTATTGCTGGAGGATTGTGCTTTGAGGTGTTTTTATTTATTTTTTGTGAAGTGGGAAGTTTGTCATTTCTGTAAATATGCCTAAACTTTCTATATCATTATTATGAGTTTAAAGTCATAATTGTATAAAATTGAGTTTAAAGTCATAATCATTCTATAAAAATCTCTTATGATTATAAGTGTGACATAATTCTAGCTCAAAATTATTATTATGCCATGTCACTCTTTTTTTTTTTTTGTGGCAGAAACAGACTTCCATATAACATAGCCAGCTTTAGATGTAAATTATTGGTGGAGGTTTGTACTTTGAGGTGTTTTTATTTATTTTTTGTGAAGTAAGTGGGAAATTTGTCATTTCTGTAAATGTCCCTAAACTTTCTATATCATTATTATGAGTTTAAAGTCATAATCATTCTATTAAAAGTGAGTTTAAAGTCATAATCATCCTATTAAAAGTGAGTTTAAAGTCATAATCATTCTGTAAAAATCTCTTGTTATGATTATAAGTGTGACATAAATCTAGCTCAAAATTATCATTATACCATGCCACTCTTTTTTTTTTTTTAATTATGTGGCAGAAACAGACTTCCATACACGGCAGCTCTACACGTAAATTATTGGTGGAGGGTTGTACTTTGAGGTGGGATGTTCTTGTGGAGTGGGTGTGGAAGTTTCTTATTTCTTCAAGCAAAAAAAAAAAAAGAAGAAAAAAAAACATTTTTTACGCACGGGGCGGGGCTTTCATTCACTCGCGCTGTGTGTGTGTGTGTGTGTGTGTGTGTGTGTGTGTGTGTGTGTGTGT